AGAGCACTTCACTTAACTCACCTCAATCTGCAGGTTTACAAGTGGTTCCTAGAATATCTGAAAATAGAAAGGGAGGCAGATCTTTTAGTTATCAGGCTCCTCTCCTGTGGAACCAACTACCAGTTTTAGTCCGTGAGGCAGACACCCTGTCTACTTTTAAGACTAGTTATAATTATCGGATTATTTGACAATCGGCATTGAGCTCCAGAATCTTCCGTCTTACCCACTCATCTCGCAACCGGAAGTTCCCCTTTGTGATTCGTCTTTTTCACAAATTAATTCTCACACTCATTTTGGGCCTTTACGGGACACCTGGACTTATACACTGAATATTGCATCCTTTTTTGCACCTACTTCAGCATGTACTTTAACACATTCTTCTTCATTTCCTACCATGCACACATGAAACAATTATGGTGAAGTAACTAAATATACTAAAATAGATGTTCAGGTCACTTCAGACAGCAAGTGAAGGAGCTGTTTTTATTATACATTATGTTTTGCTAAATGTTACTCTTTGAGCTCCGTAGGTTCATATTGGTTCATATGACTCAGTACCCATGAAGTAACTTTCTGTTTCCATAAGTTTGGCGACCCCTCACTTTTGGCAAAAAGAGTAACTGGAGCTGAATACTCATGCTGTCAACACTTTGTAGATTTTGAAAATCTTTAATTTTCTCTTTTCGCTTCATAATAATGAAGTAAATTATGCTACACACAATTATGCTTCACTTTAATTGTTTGTTTTGGTTGCCTGGCCCACAATTAATACTATGTTCTATTTTATATTTTAGATGTCACCACTCACTGGATTTTTCATGTAAAATAATAGCTCTGAAATTATTTCTCATTTAATAAGATATGCCTTTTTGTATGTTTGGTGTCTCTGTATGAGCAACCCCATAACCACTGGACCATTTTTTTTTTTTCAGAAATTCTTGTCTTTTTTGTTCTTGATAGTTCCAGCTTTTTTCATACTTATGATCTCTGCCAATCTCACCAATCAGTAGCTGACAAGGCCCGAAAAATATCTTGCAAAACAAAATATAAGTAGGATTTTTCTCTTGTGAAATAAAGGTTGGCTTTTAAAGGGCAGCAAACAGCTAGTCCTGCTGCCAAAAGTGTCCAGTGAGCAAAACAGCTTTCTATAAGCAAAGATCCAGGTGTTGAGCATTTGAAATAAGATCGAAGAAAAAGATACAGATTAACTCAATAGATGAAAAGTATGTAATTCTAATTTAAATTACAACTATTGAGAATTTGTGTTAAATTGTTTTTACATTTTAACTAAATGAATGCAGCAGCAGCAACAACCTTAAATGTAATTCACAGTACCTTTTTCAATCCCAAACTGACCTGATTTAGTAGAGAACTTTGTGCATCTATATTACATGACAGGAAAGTAAGAGAAAAAGATATTATCAATCTATTTAACATCCATTTATCTCCAAACAGCAAACTTCTGTTTTTATAGAATCCAACACCCTATGCTGCATTGCTCTGGTATTTTTTTCATAATTTCTTTGTTTTATTTGCTGTGTTCGAATTTTAAATTATTGAATAATTTAATCTTCAAAGTACTTTTAGTCTTCTCTATGAGAAGTGAAATGTAGATATAATGCTTATTTAACCATTCATCTTGTTTTGTCTTTTATTTTTTAGTCATTGGGTCTTATACAACAGATGACAGCAGATGAAACTCTTCTCTCCACACAAGAAAGCAGCAAAACCTCATTCTGGGTCAGGCTAAGTGTAAGGAGGAAGGGGAACAGTGCACAGTTAGAGCCCTATATAAGTGAGTAGCTTAGTTTTACTCTATTTATATATTTACATGTTTTCTATATGATTCATCCCCAATAAATGTAATCAAGCATCAAGCTATGAATCTCAGGTGTATCCTTCAGATTTATTGGCTGATAAAGAGCATAGGTACCATTACGTGCTGCAGCTAGCTGCCTAAGAAGAAAACAAAAACACATTTGTTTCTGCAGATTTCCTGCTCTTATCAAGGCCAATCACATCAACCTCAGCCCCAGTGGTTTTGTCAGCTCCAGCTCTCCTCCGTCTTGACAGGATGTGTATGTGGGCTTTGCTCCAATGCAGCAACAAAAACAATTTCTGGGAGGGTTAGGTGCAGGAGGCCTAGTTTTAGTTGATCGTGTTTGGATTTTTAGCTTTAAATTCAATCTAAATTATGTCTTTCTTCATTGAATTCTACTTATAAATAAAATTAAAAAAAAATCTATAACAGTAATGGTGATATAAAATCAAAGTAGATCCAAATGTTTTTTTTGTGTTTTGTTTTGAGTAAGTTTAGATAACCACACTTTTATTACCTAAACAGTTGTAGCTATTGAAGGTACTTTATTTTAACCTGTGGTCTTTTGTGTTTATTTTACACAGTGAACGATTTATCACTCAGGCTGGATTCACTCTTCTTTTAGTAGCATCCGAATTACCAGAGACACATTTATTTGGTTGGTGATTAACAACGTTGCTGATAGCTATAGCCTAAATTTCTAAATTGGTGAAAGAAAACTGGATTTTTAAAAGCTGGTTTCAGGAGTCCAACCTGTTAGATAAGAGATTAAAATCCTGGTCAGTAAACAAATTACAGTTATAATCATTCACAGATAATAAGTAACTAGTTAGGATTTCATTTTGATTTCAATTACCAATTAATTATCTATAACTTCCAGTTCTAGTTATTTGATATATTCATAATCTCCTGGTAAACTCTCACAACACACTTTAATATAAACAACAAAAGATATGCTTGTTGGGAAAAACATGCCTTTTTTCTTTACCTAATGGAAGAAAAAAAGTTTCTTATGTTTAAATAAATAAGAAAAGGTTGAGGGAAATGCTGAAAACTTAATATGCTGTGGCAATCATTCTTTTTAAAATAAATAAATAAAAGATAAAGCTTATGTTTTTCTGTCTTTTGTCCCAGCTCTCCTTTTATTACAACAAA